CTGCAAGGCTTTGGAAAACCAGGCCCTGTGAAGTACATTTGCTTTATGCATACTCCACATCGGAGCACATTCTTTGTGCTTGTTATTTGTAATTCAAAGGTGATTGAAACTGTCTAACTTTCTAGGAAGTTATTTTATTACTAGACATAGCCACATAGAGAGTTTAAATGTAAATGGTGTGTGCTTTTATGAATGCATGTTCAGTTGCACTTTGTTTTCTCTTTAATTTTATATTGAAAAATGGTGCTGATTCTGTGTAGCTGATATTATAAATTCTATTTGGAAGCGTAGTTAAGTGATGATTATAACATGAATAAATAGGGAAAATTGTGTATTTTCTGTGAATGAATATCAATTAATGAACTATTTTCTAGAAGAGAACTTTTGTAATCTTTGATTTGGAACAACAGAATAAAATGACTTCAAACTATGTGCTTTCAGTAGAAATTTAAGGCATTTTATTTTTTAAACACGTAGGTGAAAAAATTAGTTTATCAGACAATTGAGTAATATATTTTCCCTTTAATTATGTTCGCTTTATCTTAAAAAAGTAAACAATGACTTATGTTAAAGTGTATTTATTCATTTACAAAAATATACTGAGTAGCCAAAATGTGCTTGGAACTTTTCTGGTCTTGGGGAAAATAATGCTGGACAAAGCATACATGGTCACAGACAAGTTAAACTATTGGTTCAAAAACACTTTCTTGAATCCTCTAAAGTCCCTTGGACCATTGTTTGGTTTGTTGGCCTAATTGTTCCCATTTTGTCTTTTTAGGCAGAGGTTTTCCTGTTAGGCCCCTTTGCATAGCCTGTGGAATTACCTTTGGGTCGTGTTTCCACCCACAGTCCAGTCAGTTGTGATTGCAGAGGTGTGGTCCATGATGTTCCTCCCTCATATGTATTATAGGCTGGGCTGGTTTCCTCATTTTATCTTTACATATATGTTAGGGACAGTGGCCTATCCAACTTGGAGAGCTTGTTTTCAAGAGCTTTTTAATATTTTAATTTTCAGTCTGCAAAAAAGTCATTATCATTTACCAACTCAATCCATTGGATTCTTTTTTATTCTTTTACATTTTTACGTCAATTTATGAATAATTTACAGAATAAATAGTGAAAAGCCATTTTATTAGATATTTTAATAAGAATTTAAGCATAGCAAACCTCTTACGTCAAGAAAATTTTGGTGCACAAATACCATAGAAGATGAAATAGTATTGCCACTTTTTAATATATATATATATATATATATATATAAAAAGATGAAATAGTATTGCCACTTTTTAATATATATATATATATATTATCAAAACAAGGTGATCAGGTCATTGCAGAGTATTGCATGATGAAGTTCTTTTGGTTGAAAAATTAACTGGGGGAGAGTAGTATTTTCATTTTTGCCCTTAGAAATACTTTGTTCACTCAATTCTTAAGTTATACCATATTCATCTTGGATGTTATAATTAGTCTGAAAAGTCATGCACATTATAATTGTTATCATCATTATCAGACTCTAGAGTGCTGTTGTCTCTTTGCATCCATCTTTGATGTTTTTAATCATTGTAAGATGTCTTTCTTGGTCATTTTTCTTCTCTTTTCCATTATACATGGACGATGGAAACTGTTGAATTAGCAAATATATTCAATGAAAGTGAAATGAAATCTACAAAGATGGTGTCTACAAGCTTTTTTTTTTTTTTTAATGGTCCATTCAGCCTTCTTGTACTCAGCAGTTATACTGCTATTGTTATTTTTAATTAGCATATTCATTGTTAGGAATCATACTTATTCTTGAAGCCCCTTATCCAATCTCCTCCCCCCCACCCACCCAATAATCATAGATTTGTTCTCTCCATCTGATAGATTAACTTTCTCTGTTGGTTTGTTGCCTAGATGATCTGTCTGGTACTGAGACAGGTGTGATCAAGTCCTCCCCTACTATTGTAAGTCAGATGCTTCTTCTATTACTCTGGAGTGTACTTTGTGGAGAAAGAGGACCTCTTTTTTTTTTAATTTCTTTTGGTCTCCACTGGTGCCTCTCCTTGTGTCAATGCAGTTGAGAGTCTGGCATGCCATCTGCATGGTAGCTGTGACTGCTGCTATAAAGACTAGCTGCTTTTGCAGCAGCATGGCAATGGCAGTGGCTATAATGGGCTACTTGTGTGAAAATCGTATTTTTGATGGGCTCTTTTCTGGGTTGCAGCTGGGCTCAGCTTCCTCCAACTCCGTGCCTCAGGACCCCAGCAGGGCCCCAGGGTGGTAGTGGCAGCTTGCCTAGTTGTGGCTGGGTTTGGCTTCCCCTGGCTCCATGCCTGATTTTAAGATGTTGTAGAGCAGTTGGCAGGGAGCAGGAGAGGGAAAGGGGGAGGTAAATAGAGTGGGAAGAGGAGGAAGGAGGGGGAACATGATCGAGGCTCATAGCACCCCTGTCATTCTGGTAGGAGACATCAGGGGTTTCCAGTGGCAGCTTGGTCATTGCTGGGCTGGATGCAGATGTCAGGGAGGTGGCTAAAGCCCTCAGTCCGCGACTGCCGCAAATTGGGAGCCTGGGGCACTTCCTGCAGTGGCTTGCTGGTCATCACTGGGCTGGTTGTGGAGGACAGGGGGTGTGGCCAAAGCCTCCTGCCCCCACCACTCCAGCTCAGGGTCCTGAGGCGCTTCCTGCAGTGGCTCAGTGGTTGTCACTAGGCTGGTTGTGGATGTGGGTGGTGAGGTGTGGCTGAGGCCCTCGGCCCCCACCGCCCGAGCTCAGGAGTCCAGGGTGCTTCCCATGGTGCTTTGGTGGTCATCACTGGGCTGGTTGCTGATGTTGGGGAGGGGGACATGGTGAAGACCTTGGCCCTCCCCACTCCTTGGCTTAGGAGCCCAGAAGGCTTCCAGTCCGTCTAGGTTTTATAGGTGTTCTTTGGTGGTGTTAGATCTTTACTAGTTCACATCGGAACTTTGTCTCTGATTTGTGGGTATTCTGTTTTTTCTTTCCGTTCTGTATTTGATTATTTGCTATTCCCACCACTTAATCTCTGCACTGGAACTCATTTGGTGTTCTTTGCTTTCTTCTAAAATAAGAGAACTTCCTGTGGGGACCAGCACTTGAGACTGTAGTTGAGCTAAGTTAAATTGCTTCATTGAAGCTGATTCCCTG